AGTTACCATGTTAATAACTGTTTATATCATTGGTTTGTTCAAAGTTTATGGGTTTGACTATTAAGAGTGTCTTAATTATAAGACTATATTTCATCCCTCAGTTTATCTTAAAAGGATCTGTATATGTTATTAAGTTAAATTTCAAAAAGAAAGAAAGGTAGTGCCAAAGGGTTTGTCAGCGTACGGAATGGTACGGACATATACAGAACATTATTGTGAAAGAGTTGTTCCCCTTTGTTTTCATGTTCGCCGTGTGTTGCCGAATCTTTATACAAAACTAATACATGTATATTTGTGTGTTTCTATACCGTTAAACCTTACTGGTGTTATGGTCTTCAAAATCATCCATCCTCTTGTGGAGATAGATGCAGGCAAATGCTTAACACCAACTTAACCCAGACCAAAGTCGCCACACAGTTCCCGATTCCTGCAATATTCAAAGTCCACTGATGTTATGAAGTTCAGCTTCTTTCCTCGTAGTATTCCTCTGTGAAACAACCTGCCAGCACCTGTTGCTGAGGCTCATTCTTTGGCATCCTTCAAGAATGAGCTGTCTAAACTAACCTTCTAAATTCGACTTACATGCACAGTTACGAAGTACCGCCAAGTGAAGGGCTTGAGCTATGCCAGCAGGGTCTCGGACCTGGGCACCGCCACGGAAGCAGGATTGATCTTAGTCCAAATATGTAGACGTAACGGCGGATTTGAAGCTATTTTTACATGGGTCAAATCCGCTTTAACATCTAAAGATATTTATTTAAAAATCCATTGCAAAATGAAAAACAATAAACATGCACAATCATTCAAACTTCCCATGTAAAATGTTACAAATAATCATAATCCTATCAAAAATGTGTTGTTTTTTCCTTATCAAAATCAACTTATTCAAATTTTAAACAATTTAAAGCAAATCCCGTGTAAAAACTGTGTAAACAGCCTCCATATTGTGTGTACTACGCAATGCGGTGATTACTGGAACCAAATTTTTTAGACGAAATATTTACTGCGTGCACCTGTCAGCGTCTAAAATCACAGCAGAAAAAGTTTTCGTTCAGACTAATTTCGTACTTTTGTTTTTTGAGTGACGTCACAGCATGACCGACAATTTCCAATATGGGGGTCTACACAAAATATTTTTGCATGTGTCTTCTTAAATATATGGATAAATAAACTACTTATCGTGAGTAATTTTTGCATATTTTTACAGTTTTTGGGAAAATATGCTTCCGTCATTAATGCAATCAATTGCTTTTGTGATAAATAGCATTTAAGTTTTGATTTACCGGTAAATTAAAATCGACTCGAGAAGCGTGTCGATTTGTGCTATGGAAAATTAGCCAGTTATTGAAAGACTTCGCATTTTCCGATAACCGTCAAACTATAAAATAAAGAAAATGCGATGTCTTTCAATGAAGGACTAGATTGATCTTGCCTATATGGTTGAAAAATAACTGTGTGCAACTATTTTCTGCTACTTCATTTATTTTAATTTCTCTCTTTCAAAAACTGTGTCCATGTCCTTTTTTCTTTCTTTCCTATTTTTTATTTATCTTTTGTCTTTTTTCTTTCGCACCGTTAAAGAAATGTCAAGTTTGACAGCTTATATGTAGATATAGATACATCTTAAAGGCAGAATCTTAACCAAGGTAACATATTGACATGAATTATTTCGTAGGGCATGACAAGTAATAACTGAAAAATAATATTTTGGCTCTGTTTGTGTGATAAGTACGATTGCTTTCCTGAATTAAGACACGAAACAAATGTATGTAGCATTGAAACTCTTATGTATTTCTTACAATATGTATACAATGTACTCGTATGTACTAAAAAACTATACACCAAAATGCCCTCGCGATTATGTCTGCTATAAACTAAATTTCACTTTTTAAAAAAATCAGTTTAAGAATATCATTCGCTTGTATTCTATTTACATTAAATCTAAATAAAGCAGGCTGTCGTGTAACATGCAACATTTGAGGTACATTTGTTTTTAAATATAGAACAACAAATACTTTCAATCAATTGCCATATTATTTATTGCCATATTATTTAAGGACAAGGGGACATTACTGATGTTACTTCTGTCTCTAATTTACAAATGGTTTGTTGTTCTTGATGCATGTAAATAATCCATGACAAAAAATAAAGGAATTTAAAATTGATCAATTGAATATTGGAACACAACAGAAAAGTAACAGATCAAGAGACGGCCTCGTCTTATAATTCAGTCGACCTGATGCTGCTGTTTACCGTACAAATGCAGCACGTAACGATACCACGACCAATAAGTGAGGCAGCCTAGACTGACTATAAATACTTTGTGAGCGTCTTAGTGTTTTACATTCCTCTAACATTATCCGCAAAACAAAATACACGTAATAAAAATCAATCAAAAAATCAATTTCTCTAATGGGAATTTCAATGCAAAATGCGAAAACAAAACGTGAAGAAGCATTTCGCAAGGTTAGTCATGTAAATAAACAAGCAAAAATATTACTTGCCAGTTATTTTAGATTTCGCCTTCCAGGTCATACATTAAATATAGACAGGTATGAGAGTTAAGCAATTCTCGTGTAATATGATCTGTTTTTAATCCTTTGTTTTAAGTATTTGTTATGCTTATAAGTAATTGTTATGCGCCGCTTGTACACATCCTGGGAAAAATATCAATATATGTCTTTTGTCTTTTGTTTAGATTTGGTTTGGTTTTACGGTGCACCAACACAATTTCGGTCCCATGGATCCGAAACAGGAAAGGTGATTTAGACTAACCTAGCGTGGTACAATTTTAAAGCAATTCTGATACCTCAACCCGTCAGCCACAAATGGCATCAATATCTGTAACAAAGCAGATGATGAAAATATTAAACAAATTAAAACATTGCTTTCTCAGATGATGTAAAAATAACATTTTAAAAGTATCAAAATGAGGATGTATGTATGGCTTAACAGTTACCGACCGGTTTGACATCATCATTAAATGATTAAAATAGGTATAATTTCTTGTATATTATGAGTTTGGTATGTTATTGAAAAACGCGTTGATTGAATGTTTAACTAATTGATAAACTCATATTCCTTATAATAGCTTCGATAATGAAGTGTTTAACTAGATATTATACGCATTAATCGCATTATCAACTTGATAATTGCGTACATTATCTTGTTGCAAAAATATGCCACCATAATAAACTAGCAGAACATTTCGGCTATTATTCATAATAACCTCAGACTTAATTCAGATTGAATTAAAGTAGTTCTACTAGGTAATTTCAGATGTAAACAAAAACAGACAGTTTAAGTAATAGAAAGAGCATCGAAACACAAGGCTATCTGATTTGTACGAGGGGGCGTAGCCCCCGAGTATAAATCAGATTGCCGAGTGTTTTGATGTTCTTTCTCTTTTGTTTCATAGTCAAACATAAAATCACGTTCCCTGTTGTCACAATATGAAACCCCGGAGAAAAGTAACCAATGAACGAGCATCTGAATATGACATTTCTGTCGCTTTCCCTTTCTCTGCCGTCACAATAAGTAAACCCCAGTAAAAATGAGGCAATCAATGGGGCATGCTCTGGAGTGCCGGTAACTAATACATGCACTCCAGTTAACGCACGGTGCATGTACATGTATATGTTTAAGATTTAACTTGGACACATTTCAACAGAAAGGTCCCCAAACTCACAGGTGGCAGTATCAGTGTTTGGACACCCAACCCCTATCTGCCCCGGGACCCCTACTACAACCCTGAAAAAAAATAATTCAACACTCTAAGGCTTACTATAATGTACCAAATACAAAACCACCGATCAAATTATAAAAAAAAAATTCCACCATCAAAATTATAGTTATAGAAAGGTGAAAAGCCTACTATATGTTCATTTGCCAAACAATGTGGAACACGGGAAATCGTCGTTTCGGCGACTGAGGCGCATTCCGAAGGCATTTTGCTGCGTCATTCATTTACATCAATAAAAAGAACTTGAATTTCACAGCTTACTTAATTTAAGTCTAACGAATATCAATATTCTATCGATTTTTTTCTATTTCACGGTAATTTTTTATTTGTCGTTGTCATTTTGGATTCTGATACCTGTGTGTTATACGCGATCTGATTGGACGTCCAATTTGGCTCGTCCAATCAGATCGCGTATTTCAACCCAGGTATCAGACTGCAAAATGGCTGCGACAATTCAAAAAATACCGTGAAACTGAAAAAATCGGAATGATAGTGATATTCGTTGGACTTGAATTAGATAAGCTGTTGAATTCTAGTTCTTTTTATTGATGTTAATGAATGATGCAGCGAAATCCCGCCGGAATGCGCCTCAGTCGCCGAAACGACGATTTCCCGTGTTCCACATTGTTTGGCAAATGAACATATAGTAGGCTTTTCACCTTTCTATAACTATAATTTTGATAGTGGAAAAAATTTTTTTTATATAATTTCATCGGTGGTTTTGTATTTGGTACCTTATAGTAATCCTTAGAGTGTTGAATTATTTTTTTCAGGGTTGTAGTAGGGGTCCAGGGGCAGATAGGGGTGGGGTGTCCAAACACTAATACTGCCACATGTGCCCAAACTATGATACAATCATTGATAATGTATAACGAATGCAGCCTATAGTTTTGACATGCACATGAAAATAAAGTATATTTCGGTAAAATATATGTCTAACAGTCATTATCAATTTAAAAATGCCCACTGATATAGAATTATCAATAAATCCGAATGAATGTCAACGGTAGACATTTTGTACTTTCGGTTTCTACAACCATAATAATAAATATATGAATAAAATATCTATAACTTAATTTAGGTGGAATGATATTGGAATAAACTAAGTCCACAATTCCCAGCATTAAATTACTCTTAGGTAAGACCGAAGTACCGTATCAATTCTGTGTAGTTCAAGGTCCTTATCCGAAGACGGACGGAAAGGGTCGAAAAGTTGCAGTTGCCATGATAAATTAATTTATATTTACTTCCTGTTTGGTACGGTCTATAAGGAGTTAAACAGCTAGATTATTCTGCCCTTACTTTGTAATTTTAATTTATGTATTTTTTTATAATCATAACCATATTACAATTATGATTTGGCGTTAAATATTGTTTAAAAAAGGACGTCTTAAGTTTGGATGTTGAAAAGATATATATTGTTTATTTTGGAACAATTCCAACATTAATCAATGTATGTCCTAAGATATGTTACATTGGATTTCCAAATTCTTTGAGCACATGAAAATTTGATTTTGTAAGGTAAGCTTTTGTATTAGTTATTAAATTCAGAATAATAATAAATAACATTTCATTTCTAGTTATTTATTTGCACAACGGCATTTCATATGCCTTTGACTATTAACATATACTAAATATGGTCATGCCATACAATTAACATAAATATTACACAAATAAATATACATTTATACGTTGAATATAATAATACATCAAAATTTGGCCTAGATCTACGCTTTAAGCTTAAGGATTTTTCTATAAATGTTTGCTAATAGCTTCAATCCATACAGTGACAGAAATTGTGATATATTTTCGACTCAATTTATCCACATTTTATCCACGCTTATTTTGGTATTAATAAAAGAATAGAAAATGTATGATAACTTATATTCGTTTCTAATGAAAGTGATTTATATTTTGGACGGTTTGAAAATGAAAGGTTCTACTAGTTTTTGAACCTGGATGTGTTTGATACAGTATTTAATAACCGTTTAAACTTATAAATGATTTATTATATAATTATAAACTAAACGATTTTGAAATGAAGTCTTGCCAAGTATAAACAAAATTTGAACTGCTTGGCGAAGGTTATAATTTTGGCATACGGCCATTGTTTAATATAACATTTAATATTGCATATTTTCTTTGATTTAAATGAAAATTATTATAACATTACGGAAACGTTAAAGGACCTCCATATAGTGCGTTCATTTTGTGTTAGTCGATTGATTTTTGTTCGATTTGTGAATAAAATAATTTGATTTATATTATAGAATCTAACCAAATCTAATTAAAATCAGGCCATTTACACATCATGATCGCACTAAATTGAGACTCTTTAACGTTTCCATATACTATAGATTTGTAATATTCGAATTAAGTCATCAATACCTTAATTTATAAAAATTATTGCTTTATTTATAAGTAAGATATACCGCCGCCACCAAATATTTATAAGTTTGGTGAATGCACAGTCATTTACAAAATATACATTTTTTTCCTTAAGTCAAGTAATAGTTAATTAGCTTAGCAATTAATTTCTATTTAACACACATTTTTTCGCTTCACATGTTCATTTCTTCATAAAAGTTGAATACAGTTTATATTTTCCATGTATTTTTTGAATACTTTAAATAGCGTATGCCTTAAATTATTTGCTAGATTGCCAAAATTGTAAATGACTGAAAGAAAAATCGATGAACTGTTCGATATATGACGAGTTTATTTTGGTATGTCTTATCCTTCAAAATACAAAACGGTTTGGAAATAAGCCAATATCTTAATAGATTATAATACGTGAAAAGCAAATATATCTATATAGGCTAAAATATTGCTGATATCACCGATAATTATCTTTTTAAATAATGGCAGTGAATCATATGCAGTATTTTAAAGAATTAAGTGTATTCATAATGACCTTGTTATTGGTCTGAAGACTGTTGAATCCGTCATATACTGTCATATTAGCCTTAGGTCAAAGGCCGAAGGCTGATATGAGAGTCTAAAGCCCAATAACAAGGCCATTTTGAAAAACACTTAATTATTGACAATTTTATTATTTTACTACACATAATAAAAAATTATTAAGTAGTTAGGGAACAAATAATAACTAATGTAAAACTTTCAATGAAATAAAATCTATTGTTCATAAACACCATGATGAAGAGTACTAGTGTTACAAAGAAAATGTCATTTCTATGTGTATAGTATAGTATAATTATAACAGTTTAACAAGCAAGAATGTTGATAACAAAAATAAATAAAATCATTGATACATATAGTGTTTATATAATATTTTCAACTAAAATCAGCAACAATGTTTTCAACAACAGCTAACAGTTCCTTCTTAACACAGTAACGTCCCACTTTCAATTTAAAAAAAAATGGATCGGAAACCTACCTTGCAGCAATTCAAAATGGCGACTTTTTCAATGACATTAAAAAGTAGATTCATAATCAAGGGGCAGGACGTGAAGTGGTTGCACACTTGGTTCAAGCGAGCGAATTGGTTGCAAACTTGACAAAATGGCGAAAACGGCGTGATTTTTTTAAACGGGTGAACGAATTTTTGCCAGGCAAGTGGGTTTCTTTGTTATTTTGAAGTTCATTAGTATGCCTATTCCATAATGCAATATATATGCCACACTCGGTTAAAGGTTTCAGCATCCTAGATTCTGTTTTGACGAAGTTATTGAAGATATAAACTGATCATGTAGATATTTTGAAATTTGACATGTGACTGTTCTGGCCGGTTTTTCTCCTAATTTATTCAAATTTGTAAGTTTTGAACTGCATTTAACAATGTCAATGCTGTACAAACGGTTTAGTTCGCAAGTCCGAAGATAACGTTCAATACACAAAAATATCTTGTTCAAGCACATTTTGGTTGCAGACTTATACTTCAAGCATTTTTGGTTGCAAACTTTTGTGTCAATAATGTGGCATGCATATTTTTAGCGAGGAATAACTTATCATTTTTTTTAATAATTAGCAATATTAAGGCAATTATACCCGTTCATCTAATAAGAAATATATATACAAATTGCGCATGCGTGCAGATATATCCTAACAAAGGGTCCGGTCTTTCAAAATAGATATATACATGTAACACAATATGCTAATTTGAAGTTCAGTTGTGTTTATCTTCATTTTTTCTCCTCGATATACTCCTTTTCTTTTTACAAAGTCTTAGGACTTTTTTTATATCTTGGCATGACTAACTGTAAAGGAAAATAAGAAAAAATAGCAACAAACAGCTTTCATTATTGTTCTTTTTTGAGATTTGAAATAAATTTGATTATTCAGTAGATAAAAACTATATTAACATTGACACAAGGGCATTATTCACATGTTTCTTTAAATTGTTCCTTATAATTGACCAATCGAAAAATTGTCCAAATTCCCTCACTCGAACAATGACTTTAAGTAGTTTTGTCACGTATCAGTCAATGTAAATAACCAATCGTATATCATTTATATTTATATTATGATCTAATAATCAAAATCATCTTTAGAATACCAATTGACACATGATGTACATCAAATCCGAAATATTGTAAAGAAGCATGTACATCATTTTAACTTTTGGTTTGTAAAAATATTTTAAGTACATTTACATACTTTATGTCTAAAGCAACTGCTGAATATTACATACGAAACAAATTAACTTTTCTTGTGGTTTTGATAAACTTTGGAAATTTTGCCGAGTAACATCGTATGTGTGCATATGTCCTTATGTTTATGATGAAAATAATTCACTTACATACAACAGTACTCTCACATACGTATGTTTTGTATGTAGTTTTCATTTGCATTTTACATATGATGACAAATTTTAGAATTGAAGTATCAGTAAATATTTTCATATACATTTGTATGCTATTATTTTGTTTGCAGGCTTTTACTGATGATTATAGTATTGAACTGAGAACCATGTAATTTGAAACATAAAGTGCATAATTGTTGTAAAAGAAGAAAGTATAAATAACATTTATAACAAAAACAAGTAACAGAACATAAATGTCAATAATTGCCATTGAAAATAGGTTAATATATATAACCTTCTACATTCCTCTTGCAAAGTTCAAAAGCATAAGAATAAGTTTGCAACCCAAAATGCTTGAAGTATAAGTCTGCAACCAAAATGTGCTTGAACAAGATATTTTTGTGTACTGAACGTTATCTTCGGACTTGCGAACTAACCATTTGTACAGCATTGACAGAAACATATTTTGTTATTGTTAAATGCAGTTCAAAAGTTACATATTCGAATAAATTAGGAGAAAACCCGACCAGAACAGTCACATGTCAAATTTCAAAATATCTACATGATCAGTTTATATCTTCAATAACTTCGTCAAAACAGAATCTAGGATGCTGAAATCTTTAACCGAGTGTGGCATATATATTGCATTATGGAACAGACATACTAATGAACTTCAAAATAACAAAGAAACCCCTTGCCTGGCAAAAATTCGTTCACCCGTTTCAAAAAATCACGCCGTGTTCGCCATTTTGTCAAGTTTGCAACTAATTAGCTCGCTTGAACCAAGTGTGCTACCACTTCAGGTCGTGCCCCTTGTTAACAATACGTAGCATTTTACCTCTAATTCCACTTAGGGCATTTCTATATATACTGTCAAAACATTTTTTAAAATCAATAAAAACACAATAAAGACGTTTATTTTCATGTAAATACTTCTGAACTAATGTGAACAAGATACACAAAGCATCAACTGTCGATTTTCCTTTTCTAAATCAGATATAATATTATTTTCATTACAATAAGTCATAATCCTTTTATTCAAAATTGATATAAATAATTTCGAGCGTGATTCTCCTGTCATTATTTACATAATTTTTATCGCCTTTTTATGTAACGGAACAATGACGCCTTCAGTCCACATATCAGGAAATGTGATAGATAGATATATAATCAATATGAAAGGCGCCTTTCAAACGCACCTATTACGTAAGCCGCCTAATGGTGTCATGTAAAATTAAAAAAAAAATATTGGAAAGGCGCTATAATACAAAACGGAAGGTGTCAAAATGCAAAACAAAAGGTGTAATTACGCGAAACAAAAGTTGTAGTAATGCGAATAAAGTCGTAATAATTCAAAAAGGCCTTAATATGCGGAATAAATAGCGAAAACAAAAACGAAAATAAAGGCGTTAATACTCGAATTACATCGTTATTACGAGAAGCATTTACGACAGCAGGACCGGAAAGTTTAAATCGGCAAAAAGGGCTATATTCTCATAAAGTGTATATGTACCAGCAATCGCATCTTCGCGGCCTTTTCCGTCAAACTTTTATTATGAATAATAATATCTGTCATATTTTGCGGTTCGCAAGCCTCGTTACCGCCCAATGGGCGGGTCACCTCGGGACGGATATTCCGATCCGAACCGCAAACATATGTCAGATATTTTTTCTTGCATATTCTACCATATTCCATTATATTTTAAATTTTTTATCTTTATTTTCAATGAAAATTTATATCATTACAACCGTAACTACTTTCATTCATCAGCGTATGAATTACAAAATCATTCATAACGGTAAAATGACGTCATCTTTATCGTGCCATTGCACAGCACGCGACTCATCTGGAACCCCCCATGCCAGATGAAATTTCCGGCATGGGTAAAACTAACGGAAACGCCAGTCTGATATGCAAGAATAATCGTCGACGTGTTTCGATTAATGTATAAGAAGCAACCACGTTGAAAACGTGAACGAAAAATGAACAAGAAGCTTAAAAGCGCATACTCCCGCACTGGCTTCATCTTTAATGAAAAAAAAATGTGAACGCATAATTATTAACTTTAATGTCATGTTTTGCCGATACATACAGTTCTGAACAAGTATCTTTTATATATCTTTCTATATTTTTAAAAATCTATTTTTCTTTATCTTAGGGCATGCAAATTTTAACCACGGCATATAATGTCGTATATAATTATATAAAAATACTAATGAAATTATTGTTGATTTTTTTCAAGCTAAAAATGACATGTAGTTTGTAGGTTCCAAATGGGAAATACATGTTGTAAGACTGCAGTTGGACTAAAGGCAGAATGCTGTGTAAATACACATGGAACAGGTAATGTGAGCTAGAATGCCACTTCTTTCGGATTGATAACAAATATAAATAAGTCTATTTAATATTGATTTTATTGTGAGAAACTTGTTATCATATTCTAAAACGATACGGTTTTATCAAGAGTTTGTTATAAATTGGTTTAACTGCAACAAAACTTAACTCTCCGAAAGAAGATACATTTTTACATAGCAAAAAGCATTCAATACATTAAACCTTGTTTAGTGTACTTAAATAATATATTTATGTAAAAACCCAACATACTTTCAGATCCGTCTGCCATAGGACGAAGGCTTCATTCACAGTCTTCACAAACAGAGAATCTGACCGAAGAAGAATATAGAAGGTAAATATTTCTGCTTTGAATGATTCTACAATTGAAAACCAGTATAGACAATTTGCTTATCCAATATATGTTAAGTTTGATATCAACTTTTATTTTCGTTGTTCGTCCATTAGAACAAACAGATACATGATATATGACAATGTAAAGAATATAATATACGATAATGACAAGCAAGGTTTTACGCACGCGTTAAATGGCTGCGAAGTAATGGACAGCTCTGAAATGCATACCTTTAGAAGAGCCGAATAAAATGCAACCTAGACGTCTGTCTAGTTGTTGAAATTAATTGGGAAGCGTTACGACACGAAAATTCCATTACATCAACACTAGTAGTACTCGTGTTTAACTGCTGACACGCCCATAATGGTTTAATGCCTTAGACATTAATTAATTATATCCCGATTAAATGATATATAATAAGCAAATGGCCAACAATAAAACATCAAATTTGAGCATAAACTTAGAACATGTATATAAGATATTAAATGCATCAGACTCGTTAACCAAATCTAATAACAAAGGCCGGTTGAACAGGGTGATGCTCCCCGAACAGGTTTTTGGACAGATAGAAACTACTCCCTATTGATTCTCAGTGTTACAATGAACAAAGAGCAATAACTCTAATATTAGACAAGGCAGAGTTACGTTTTAAGTGAGATCTATTTACATACAAAGTTAGAGTTATGTCCTAGACAAAGTTAAAAGTGTAAAAATAGGCAAAGGGCAATATCTCCAGCTGGACTGATGGATGGACATCCGGACGGACGGACAAAACTTCGACTATATGCTCATAAAAAGCATTGACTATACCACAGAGGACTAAAGTTCATAAAAAGTACGCATGTGTCCTCGCTTTACTACACAAAAGAGGGCTAAAGTTTTTGAAGCCAAAACTATGTCAGAACAGCACTATCCAAGTCATCTCAAGATATATACATTTCAATTTCTTCAAAACGAACTTGTTTCTTAGTTTCTAAAGATAAACAGATGGAAAAATTGAAAAAAATCAGCTGTTTTGCAACAGTTCTTACAACGATGCGTTTCCAAAATGAAACACAGTTCACCTTTTGGAAGAGACAACGTGTTTATCTTCTGCATGATTTCATTCAAGCCTGGGTCCGTGATATCAAATCACGATAAACTACAGTTGCACACTCCGTTATTTGTATACGGACATAAGAAAACAATCTTTGGCAACAAAGCGAGAAATTTAAAATTGGTCTTGAAGTGATATATGAGAATGTACATTTTTTAAACGACTCGCAAAATAAATCGTGTAATTCCGCAGTACGGTTTTTTAATTCAACACCGGTTTGAAGTATTGATGCATTATGGCGAGTTTTTGTTTTTTGTGCATCTAAACGGCACCGGAATAAGTAATAGAAAGAGCATCGAATACGAAGCTATCTGATTTGAACGAGGGGGTGTAGCCCCCGAGTATTGATCAGATTGCCGAGTGTTTTGATGTTTTTTCTCTTTTGTATCATAGTCAAACATAAAAAACACGTTCCCTGTTGTCACAATATGAATGGTTATGCTCTGGAGTGCGGACAACTAATACCTGCACTCCAGTTAACATATGTATACGATTTAACACTGAAACATTTTCAACAGAAAGGTCCCTAAACTATGATACAAATAGTCGATTAACACCGCTCAGACCGGTATAATTTTGATTCTAAATAGATAAAACAAGGGAGAACACTTACGCTTTTGTCAAGCGAAGACTATAGTGTAATTTGCGGCTCGGTTTACTTTTGCAATAGGATCCATTGCTGATTATAGTCTTCATAAAGTACTATTGACCATAACAAAGTTAAAAAATAATAATTCTTCAAATTAAAATATACACGGTATCAGAAAATATTAGAAAATATGCGTATACATTCAAAGTTTATATCGAATATCCAGGCGTCCTAGTTCCAATTTAATATAGACCTTTTACGACGCGGTCCGTTGCTATGAAAAATCGACCGGAAGTAGTATTTCCCCGCACATGCGCAATCTGCGTAGGGTAAAAAGCATAGTCTAACATAGAAATATAGAAGAAGATCATAGACTATTCCGAGTTAGTTTAAGGTAAAAGGTAGAAAAGTTTATAAAATGGCTTTAAACAAAATTAAAAAGATTCCTTTATAGCTTTGTTGCCAAGATTGCCATAAAAAGGCATGGAAAAGGAAATTGTTTAAGAATTCCCCTTACGGTGTCACGGACCTGACATTGAGATTCTTTTTAAGAAAATGTGGAATTATTTCTTTTATTCAAATGAGAGTCAACTAAATTGTTGTTGAAATGGTTCATAAAAAAGATAAAAGAAATTTTATAATTTTTATCCTTTATTTGACTGTGATGCAAAACAGATAATTTGAAAGTCACATAAATATATTTTAAATAGTTTTTTTTTTCAAAATTATTAAGGAAAGTGAAATAACACTAATTTTATCCGGTTCCTCGTGACACATGTTAATGTTTTTTAATGCAAGTCACACTAATTGTCACTTCACAAATCAATAAACATTGATGAGATCGGTATATATAAAAGTTACTTAAATTACGTTTTTATTTGTTTGGGTCGTCAGACCAAACAAATAATGGTAGCGAAATTTCAGACTCTAATGCTGTTAATTGCAAATGCCGAAAGTAGTCCGCTTTTTTGAAGCGGTTACTTCCCTTTTTATGTAACACTAATGCCGAACAATTCAGGGAAGATCACTGCGTAAATATGGTGAGATGACTGGCGGATTAATTTTCAAGCAAAATAATTCCCGAATGGTCGAAGATTTCTAATATTGTTTTTTTCTTTATAGATATACATGCTTATAGTAAGCGCCATGATTATTTACACAAGTGTTAAACAACAGTTAGCGTCGTTACAAACCCTAATTTAGAATAATATGGTTTTCTTCAGGCCATTAAGATATAAATTCACAGTGACCGATGGGTTTGCGCGCTCGCCTATGAAGCGAGAGGTCTGGAGTTCAAATCCCAGTTAAGGCAACTCATTTCTTTTTCAAATTGTTTAAGTCAAAAACAAATAGGGTTGAATATCAGTGTTGTAATTAGTCTTATAGTCAATCTACTACAATTAAAACGCTGGAAAGCATTGGTGGCACTATACAAAAACAAATTGTTTTATAATCTCACAACCTTCACCTTTCTGACATTCTGAGACCCAAACAAATTCAGCGCATTCTGTGCTTTGATTCATAATTGTACGTGATTAACTATGTCGTGGTTCTAAAACGTCCCGGTTGAATGATATTTATACAATATTTAGCTGGAAACAAACAACCACGGTCGCGTGTCAATCTTTTTGACACTTACCGCCTGGCCAATCCAAAGGAAGTGTACAATATACATTGTGTAATATTATGTAATACAATAGTAATAAAATTTAATCTTTTAAACCCTGATGTTTAAATTCAAATTACGGATGAAAAAGTCGTCTAATGATACCTTAAACAGACGTCTTTTGTATGCGCCTTTTGACCATTGGATTATAAGTCCTGCACTTTTATTATATCTGTTATAAATATCAATTGACGTTTTAAGTACTTACCGCTTTAAGTCATCCCAAAATACATGTTTTCTGGTTGATATAACATGGAACCACGACTATTAAAGCCTTTAAGTATCATACACTGTTGTCAATTTTATTTATTTTGTTGCATGCGCGAGATGCAACATTGGTTGCTATGGAAGAATCGTATTGTAAAAAGGTCTATACATTTTGTAATAACTTTGTCTCGATTGTGGCTTGCAGAATTGGAACCGATGCAAATTTATTCGAGGGTAGATATGATACGGGAGAACATACTGCCATTTTCAAAGACAAGAATTGCAGGCTCATTTTGTGTAAACCAGTTGATGACTTTATTCAAACCAAAGATATGAGAATAAAAGACGGTGAGCCCAATTTGTGTTGCAAAATTTTAAACAGTAATAATATCATATTTTTATATATATTTTTTTCGAAATGTAAAGATATATTATATTGAGGACAAATAAAAGATAAATACATTCCTTCCCCTGTCTCTCATAGATTAGCATTTTCCAAACAATCATCCGCGAAAATAATATCTAAATAGAAGAACAACTCTATATATGACATAGTTAAATGTCGTACACATTTCTTTAAATATTGCTTAAGTGAATTATATTCTGATATATTTTTAATTATGTATCGTCTATGTAATCATATTGGGTTGAAATTATCAGCAAAACAAAACGCTTTCTCTATGGTATTTACTACCGCCCACCTAACACTTCTACTCTACAACACTCCTTAATCGAAGAATCCATTAACCTTGCTGTTGAATCCGGTATACCAAACATCAAAATCAAGGGATACTTCAACATGAACATGCCTAATTCTACTGCCTCTAGAAAATTAATCTCTTTTACTCAACTTATTTCAGAGCAAACTCACTTTACTGGAAGCTCCAGCTCACTATTCGATATTATTCATACATCGAATCCTTTATTCATATACACTGTTGGTGAGCCTGTCCTATTTTTGGCCTGAAAAATTTCAATAAACCAAATTCTCACACTTATACAATACATATATTGCTGTTTGACAAATTTGAGAACTTGCAGCTCCAACAAATTGGCACCATATAAAGATCAAAGCATAGATATATACGCGCACAAAATCACAGAAGCCATAATAGATATATCAAAAATATGTATTCCTATCAGAAACGTAACCATAAGACCAAATGACCCACCCTGGTTTCCTCATTATTTGAAAACACTTATCAGAGAAAGACGTAGACATTACAAAAAAAAGCCAAACGCACCAACACAGAACGCGATTGGTTGCGATTTAGGACACTTCGCACCAATATTATTTCAAATATAAACATTTCAAAAGCAAATCATGTTCATATACAAAAGTCTTGCAAATAATCTTAAGACAACACAGCAAAACTCAAAATCATGGTGGTCATGTCTGAAATCATTTATAAAACCTTGTTCTTCTTCCTCTATTCCTCCTCTGCAAAATGGTGATATTTTAGCTGAAGACGAAAAGACAAAAGCAGACATACTGAAAGACTATTTTATTGACCAAACACATTTGAATGAACCAAAGCAAACTTCTGCAATTTTCCACCAAAATGAACTTTGTACATCAAATATGGAATCATATTCTATAACACCCGATGAAATTTCACTTGTCCTAAAACACCTATCATTAGGTAAAGCAGCAAGTCCAGATGGTAAAAACAACAGAATTCTTGCAGAGTTGTATAATGAGCTTTCTACTCCTTTGATAGCTGATTTGTCTGATGAATCTCTACGTTCTTTGATATTTCCCATATGTTGGAAAGAAGCGTTTGTCTTGCCTATATTTAAATCTGGTGATCGATCTATTCCTGGAAACTATCGCCCTATAACTTTTCTTTCTACAATTGGTAAGTAAGTAATGTAAGTAAAGTTTATTTATGTAACATAGGCCTCCGGCCTAAAATACAACATAATACAACAAACATGAAATAGCAATGGTAAAGTATAATGAGATGATCATAGATATAAATAGTATGTTGTAATATAAACATTGGTAGACATTATATCAATTTTGTTTTATAGATATATAAAGATATTAAGAGAATTTCGTAGATCATTTGTAGAATACACTATATAATTACCTTTATAATGTTTTATGTATGTATTTTTTAAGTACTGAATTGGCGGCTATATTTAAGTGCATGATCAAGAAAACGTGCGATACTCTTATATAATGTCACATCTGCGTTTCTTAGAACAGATATAAATTTTTCACGTGAAGGATTTTCACCAGTATATCTGGTAGAATGTTTTTACGTATAGAATTAAAGTGAATACAAATCAAGAGAATGTGATAATCGTCGTCTAAGCCCGTAAAACAGAGAGGACATATCCTTTGATCAATTGGTATATTATTGAAGAATCCAGTGTTATAACCCAAGGGCAGTAAACCGCCTCTTAATTTTACAATGAGCGACCTGTAATATGAATTTTCAATTTGGCCTAGGTACGATTCTCTTATAAAGTCAATTTTAATGTTTTTATAAAACAACAGTCTGCTAGATGAATCAAGAGCCTCCCGCCATGTTTGAACATCAATATCGCGCAATCTTTGAGATAATTCACGACAGAACAAGTCAATATTTCCTACTCTCTGGTTAATCCATACATGACCAAATCCATTCATGTAAAGAAAACGCCTAATTTGAAATGCCCAGCAATCAATGTTATTTTCTGCCCACCGGTATTGGATTTTATAGCATTTCATTCATTTTTAGAATCCTAAACCAGTATTTGATTGCTTTAAGACATCTGTTACAATATAGTGAAAATCCGCCCAACTCTCCATATACATACTTATTAGGAGTAGACCAGTTTAGTTTCAATGCATATTTACAAAACTTGTTATGTACGATGTCAATATCTTTAGCTTCATAAGAAAACCAAATTTCAGAGCCATATGTCAATATAGGCTGTATTTTTGAGTAAAAAATTTTGAACAATAGAGATACAGGAAGTTGTCCGAATCTGTATTTATTAGTTTTAAGTGAAAAAATAGCTTTATTTGCTTGTTCAGATAATGTTTTTTGACACATATACCATGATAATTTAGACGAAAACACTATTCCTAAATATTTATAGTAAACGTTACTTGAATATTTTCTACGCCATAGAACCATTTTTCATAAGCACGCCGGTAACCACCATTCCTAAAGACAATGACCTTTGTTTTATCAAGATTAATTTTTAGATTCCAATAATCACAGTACGACTTTAACCGATTAATCATTCTCTGAAGCTCTATTTTTGTTTTGGCAATTAGAACTAAATCGTCGGCGTAAAGTAAAGTGAATATTTGTTTAAGTTCCAATGAGACACCATGGCAACCATCGCTAACATAATTATTTAGGCCATTTAAGAATAGAGAAAATAGTAATGGAGATAACGTACACCCCTGCCTGACACCAAACGGGCATTCAAAACTTTCTGTTAGTCCAGATGGGGATTTAACTCTTGCTTTAATATCATAATATAACGATTTGATCATTTTTAAAAACTTTATACTAACATTATTTGAGCATAGTTTATTGTATAGAGCCTGTCTATTAATTCGGTCAAATGCTTTTTCAACATCAACGAATAAAGTATAAAAACGGCCTTGAGGTTTTTGTAGATACTTAGTTATAAAAGTGCACAGGCAAAATATATTATCTATAGTGTTATAACCACTCCTAAACCCACCTTGTTCTTCACCTAATACAGAGTTTGCATCACACCATTTCTCAAGCCTTCTATTTAAAATAGATGTAAATATTTTACTCAGTACAGGTAGTAAGCTGATTCCACGATATTTACTTGGATCGTTTTGGTTACCCTTTTTAAGTACAGGTGTGATAAGTGAGATTGACCAATTGTTGGGAAATTCACCATTATCGTATAGCTTATTATATAACAAACATAAAATCGGGATAAGTCTGTCAGAGGCTGCTTTAATAAACTCAGCTGTAATGCCATCAATACCAGCTGATTTGCCTAATTTGAGTTGACCTATTGCCCAGCTGACCTCAGAGGGAGAGATTGCGGAATCAAGAATATCATTAAATATTACACTGTTGTTTGTGATATCATCAAACTCACCGTTAACAACTGGATTAAATAAACTATGAAAATAATCATTCCAATCCTCAGTTGTTATATTAACCCGATTGTGTTTGTCTTTAAATAATTCCAAAAATATTTTGGGTTATTACAATTGGCAGCAGCGACAAGTTTTGATCGTTCATTAGCTTCATATCTTATTTACACTTACGACATGTTTCTCGATATTCGGATTTAGCTAATTTGTAGTTGTTTAAAGCGTTATCAGCGCATGATCTACGAAATTCTCTTAACCTCTGAAGAACATTGGTACGAAGTCGTTTACCAGTAGAATTATACCATTTTTGACATTTCTGATTTGTATTAAGATTATTTACACCATTTTTTCTGTTTATGTTTGATCCAGCATTGTAAAAGCAATCTGTTAGTCTCTGTATAGCTAGATGTATATCATTATTATCTAAAGCAGTATTAAAATAGTCATACATTGAGTCAAGACCTATAATTAACTTTTCAATGTATTGTTGTTTATTATTTTCATCCCATTTCAGTTTAGTATATAGATTTTCAGATACATTACTAAATACTTGATCAAAAAGATTATCTTCTAATTGTGATGAGCTCTTAATTTTAATGTAAACAGACATGTGTATGGATTTAATTCGGTTTTCAACATCAAAATCTAAGACATAATCAGATAATGACATATCAGACAAAATATAATCAATAGGACTAGGAGAATAATCAGTATAACATGTACAACAACCTTTGCCAGCATCGTTACCGATTCTGCCATTACATATACGAAGCCCAGTAGCAATACAAAGCTGAAGCAATTTTTGGCCATAATTATTTATAGATTTACCATCAGAATAAGCTCTAGGTGGCGGAATAGTATCTTCAATATAAAAAGTATCACTTAACAATGGAAATCCACCATCCATAGCAATATAATCTGGGTTTGTGGATGTATATGCATTAAAGTCACCTAAAACAAAAATGGAATGACCCGGATAGTTACTTTTGAAAAAAGCAAGCTCGTTTTCGATTATATCAAACAATGCCTCATTCGAATGTATGGACGAATTTTCTGGAGAAATATAAACAAAACCTAATAGCATATTATGAAAAATATTAACTTTAGATCTAACAAGTAGCCATAAAATATTGTGACTAGAGGATCTAAGTTGTCTAATTTCTGCATACTGAAATATAATATTTTTACAGAAACAGATATTCCACCTGAATTTCGTTTTGCATTTTTACTTAGTGGTCTAATAACATCAAAACATGTATACCCAGTTAATGAAAACTAACCATAATTCTTAGCCCAAGTTTCGACAAAACCAATAATGCTAAATGACTAAATATTAGCAACAAAATCTGTTAAATCACAAATATCGTTTCTTCCAGTCAATTTTGATGATAAACCAGAAATATTACACACACCTAATTTCATAGCATGAAAATTTACGTCAAAATCAGAATTTGTAACATCATGTCCAATATTCAAATGTGGCAGTTTATTATTCAGACCTTGGCCACTGCTCTATTCCTCGGGAACAATATCATCCTTGTCAAAGTCAAAAATATAAGTTACACCGTCCACAATCAGCTTATCATATCTAATAAACGATCGTTTGTTCTGCTTCTTGAAGATGTCGATATACGGATTAAGTTTGGACCTGATTTTCCTAGTATGCGTTGTAAAGTCTTCAGATACTCGAATATCGTCATAATCTGATTGATCGCTGCTGCTTGCTTTGTACCTTAGGACTTGGCGGTATTTTTGTAGAATAAGATCTTTATCTTTGAATTTGTTAAAGTTAACAATTATAGGAGAGGTTACTTTTTTTGTCAAGCGACGTGCACGTTCAAGCTCAATAGTGGTTTCGTCAATCTCAAGATTATTCGATATGTAATTTCTTATTTTAGCTTCATACTCATCCCATGATTCATGGCTTTCTTGTCGAAACCCAAAGAAAAGTAAATTTCTCGACGACTTTGAGCTTCTAGGTGTTCACACCGTTCATTTGCATTATCGACTTTTGTCTCCATGGATGCAATTTTAGCATTTAAATCTGATACTGTATTTGTTAAAATTTGATTTTCTTCTTGCAATTTTGCATTTGATGCCTTTAGCGAATTAAGATCTTTTCTAAAATCGTAAAATTTTACATTTAAACCTTTAACATGTCGATGTGTCTCAATGATTACTTGCTGAAGATTTAAAGTACTAATATCCTCACTTTAAGTATGAGCTTCAATATGTGCATCCATATTAGCATTAGTTTTTGAAATAATTGTTTTCAAACACACCTTCAACTACCTCCACTCCACCAACCTTCGAACATCTTTGCAGTCAGGCTTCATACCTGGTGACTAAACAACAATCAAACTTATCTGTACAATTTTTTTTTACTGAAGCAATTGACGCCTTTAGGAAGTTCGTGCTGTATTCTGTGATGTTAGTAAAGTATTCGACAGGGTGTGTCATAAAGGCCTATTCTCTAAACTTAAATGTATGGGCATCAATGGAAACTTGCTTTCATGGTTCAAATCCTATCTCCATTGCCGCAAGCTGGCGCATATTCTAAATGGAACACTGTTAAAGCAGGAGTACCTCAAGGATCTATCTTGGGACCTCTTTTGTTCTTAACGTATGATAACGACATTGTTATCGATATAAAAGCTAATATTCGTCTATTTGCTGGTGACACGAGTCTATATCTAATTGTAGATGATCCTACCTCTTCTGCTACCACTTTTAACTCCGATCTCTCTACTATCTCCGACTCGGCCAAAACCTGGTTGTTAAAGTTCAACCCGAAAAAAAAACAGAATCTCATATCTTGACTCGAAAAAAAGGCAAACAAGTCCATCCACCCTTTAAGATGAATAGGGAGACTATTCAAGAAGTTACTCATCATAATCATCTTGGTGTATTTTTTCTCTTCTGATCTCAGATGGAATATTCATCAAAACTATATAATGAGAAATCCTACAAGCCTATCAATGTAATGCGAAAGTTGAAATTTATCCTTCATCGTCATTCACTGGAAATTTTTTGATATGTCTTTCATTCGTTCTCTTTTAGAATACGGTGTTGTTAACTTTGATAACTGTACATCTCAAGAAAAGGCAACAATCGAAAAGCTTCAGTATGAGGCAGCTCGTATTGTAACAGATGCAACCAAACTTGAGTCAATTGCCCAACAAAAATCTTGCCCCTCCTTATCTTTCTGAAATGCTTCAAGACAATCATATAGCCTACACAATCAAACCTATCACAGAGCTCATAGAGCTCGAACCACGCTATATTATAATTCCTTCTTGCCATCCACGACTCGAGCCTTTAATTCAAAGTGACGTTCGCAGCTCTCCAACATTATTGTCATTTATAGTTATTATTGTATATCTTCTAACATTCAAAAGCCACCGAAATATTTTTATTATGGCAAAAGAAAACTCCAGATTTTCCACACACGTCTGAGGACCAACTGTAGCATTTTGGCTGAAGACTTTTTTTCTAAGAATATCATACTTTCGCCTCTTTGCGTCTGTGGACAAAGGGAAACAACTCGTCATTTTTTCTCGACTGTCCTCTTTATAAAAACATAGGACCTCAGTTGATAAACTGTATAAGCACATACTGTCATGTTTCACTAAAAACCATCCTGTTTGGTAACACGACGCTTAAAGACTCAGATAATAAGAAAAAATTTCTTGCAGTTCATAAATATATTGAAAAATCGGGTCGCTTTGACTCTTCAACAATTTTCAACTATCATTAAGGGTTGAATCACAGGTCACTTTTGTCTGTTGTTTTTCCCTTTCTATCTCTTCTTCTATCTGAACTTATGAAACTATTATCATTATTAGTCTTATTTTGCTTTTCTTTAAATAATTGATTTATATTTATGTATTCATTTTCGATGCAAGTTGTAACACATCAGCCTTCTTAGTCAACAAACGACAATTTATTTCGCCTTATTAAGCACATATATTTATTGTACATTGGGAAAAGACTTCAAATTGATAAGCATTAGGTTGCTTCCAGTCTAATCCTTTTCTAGTTTTGGTTGTAAATTTCATGTATGTAAATATGCTAATGTATGAATAAAATATGTTTGAATTAATCATATTGATTATGATGTCTAGTTTTTGGTGACTTATAGGTCCACTGGGTCGGATGTTTTCCATGTTTCTAAACTATTGTATAGTGATAATAAATGGCGTATGTCACTATAACAAAAATACTTACTTATCTACGTACTAAGTTACATACTTACTTACTTTCTTACTTTCTTACTTACTTGCTCACTACTCATTTACTCACTTACTAAGAGGAAATGTGTTTGTTTTGCAAGTAATTAAGATATATTCGGTTCATAAACATTCAGATATAGTACTGCTACTATGAGCATTATATTTTATATTTTTACTGTGCAATTACCAAAATATGATTTCATTGTCCACTGAAAAGCATGTAGCCTGATAATCTCTACTCTCTACTTAAATCTAGTTATATTATAAGACTGAAATGACTAAGCTTGTACAATACTTTGCAGAACTTGAAAGCAGTGGATACTCGTGTGAGTTACCTTGACTTCTTTTGATCATTTTAGCATTTAACATAAAAATATAATTCAAATTATTATAATTTATAGTCATTGTAATTTTCTAAGAAAAGTTGTCTAACGAAATGATGTAAATAATGAAACAGTACATATTTAACTGAAATAAGTCATTTTGCAATCTGCTATACTAAATAATCATATCCTGCTATGCTATTAAATCATATCTGGTTAGCGTGTCTTATTCCTGTTTATACGTGTGATCATTTGACAAAGTTCATGAATATCAGGCACTACCGGTGTCAAAAAAAGAATTTTAAGTAAAGCGAATGGGGCGTCCGTGGCCGAGTGGTTAAGGTCGTTGATTTCAAACCACTTGCCCCTCATCGCTAAGGGTTCAATTCCCGACAGGGACTTTGAATTCTTTCATGTGAGGAAGCTATCCAGCTAGCTTACGGAACGTCGGTGGTTCTACTCAGGTGCCCGTTCGTGCCTGAAATAATGCACGGAAGGGCACCTAAGATCTTCCTCCATCAGTAAAGCTGGAACGTCGCGATATGACCTATACTGTGTCGATGTGACGAAAAAGTTAAAACCCAAAACATTCATCTGATTACAGGCAATTCTCTATAGACAAAACGTTAAAGAAAAAATTTGAAAAAATACTATGGTACTTCTCAATGCCCTTCAATTTAGGAAACTTTGACGCATAAAATTATATAAGAATGTTATGTTAGTATCATATTATTGTTTAACATTATAAAGATAGGCAATACAGGAGTTATATTGATTGTAAATTATGTTTCACATATATGCAGATAAGAGTTCATATCTTTTGATTTAAGCTGGCACTAAAGCTACACTTCCAGAATCAAACAATGACGGAAATAACAGCGATGGGTTAGATCGATCAACGATATTATCAAAGGACGAATACCCGCCAAACTTAAATGATGATGGTGGTGGTCATTTCTATATTTATTCACATGACGCATCACATAAACCAGCGAGATCATGCCGAGATTATCGTTTGCCATATAATTCTGGTCTCACATGTGATGAAAATGATACTATATTGTCACATTTCTCTTACCTGAAGTCAGAACTTGATGTCGAATATCTGTTAGACTACTTTATACAAGAAGATGTTTTTACTGAAGCTCAGGAGGAGAAGATCCGTATCATAAAATACAGGCAAGATCGAGCTGATTTGTTCTTACGGACGCTTCTAAAGTCTAGAAAAACGTCAGCTTACAGTACTTTCTTATCATCACTCTGCCAAATAGGATTGAAACACATTTGTGACGCCCTAAGTTCGGGAATTCAGAGGCCTTTATTTATACCAGGTATCCCAGTTTAAAAGATATAAAACGGCACGTATATCAAAACGTAGCTGTTTTTTACAAATTGATTAGATTGTGCGCATATACGAGTATCTATTCGAATTCATATGATCAAAAAGGGCCACGAAAACATTTACATGTTCAGGCAAAGAGTAACTAATTTGCCGAAAGTATATTGATTTAAGTAACAAATATAACAGCACAACAGAAAAAAACAAAAAGCCGAAAAAAAGGGTTCTGACACAAAATTAAAAAAAAACGTTTATTTTCTCAAAGAAATATCAAAATTATTGTAGTTTTCGTAGTTGTATGCGTACTTTTAGTCTAAGGTGTTTGAATATCAAATTTATCATATACTTGTATGTTTTGACAGATGAAATAACATCAACAGAGGTGGAAATTTTATTGAAACGACCGGAGGTGCTGGTTGATTACATCGATTGCCCTGAAAAGATTGCAGAGCATTTCCTCATACATAAAGAATTTACACTAAATGACTATGAAGAAATTCTTGATGAGGGTTCCAGGAAGTATCGGACGAAAGTGTTACTTGCAAAAGTTGTAGAAGGTCATAAAAGGCGAAGATTTCATTTATTTAACTACGCTCTCTTAATGGAAGGATATAACGTTTTAGAAGATATTCAACGTGTACAGGATGAGACAGGTTTGTCTTCGTTTGTTCTCGACGTCTTAATATTACTTATTGGATAAAATTAAATTAATCTTTTAATTGACATAAAGCAATTAAAATGATGTATTTGTATACATAATAGGCAAATCATGGTGTCAATTATAGATTATTAGATTATATAAAAATGTAGTGTACAATAATAGTTGATCTTTTCATGATTAAACGAATGTCAATATTCATTAGTTAACAAATGAGTTATGACTGTTCACAGAAAGAAAACATGCTGACGATGATTTAATTGTTACTAGACTTGGTGAAAGTGGCAGCACTGAAATAAACGTTTTAGGTATTTTATAATTTTTGTAACAAAATATTGTCCTTATATTGATTTCATAGTAGAACCTATTTTTGATATATGAGATCCACACAAGGAATCGAACTTCTTCATATATATATTTATTAAAAAAGATTTTCAAAATCGAGCAAATCCTGAAAACTGAACGGTTTTAAAAATGGAAAGTAGTAAAATGTTTTATTGATTTTAAGATTATTGACATTTGAAAACGTTTTTGTAATCATGTTAAGAAATAAGATTTATATATTGCATGATATGTTGATCAAATCGGATACAATGTTCACCTGAACTGGATAAAACTTTGCATTGACCAAATATAAGAAATTGTAATTTATTTAATAAGGTGTATTTACAGAGGAGGATGAAATGTCTTTTACGTTAGATTTCCCAAGAAAACGTAAGAAAGAAAAGCATATCAGGAGAAAAGCAAAAAGGTATGACGTAAAACACTATATAAACGAAGACCTTATACATGAAACAGAATGTTTGATTTCTGACATTGGCAAAGGCAGCATCATTATTCGAATAAAAGGCTGTAGAAAAGGTTCAATAAAGCGTTTACTCAACAGTGGTACGAAAGAAGGTATTTCAAAGTTATTGAGCACCATCTTTGCCAATCCGGTCCTAGCAAAGGCACTGAGAGACATATCAACACATATTAATGTCAAAGTAGAAATAAATGCACCACAGAAGACAGAATGTACAGGTAACTGTTAAATGGCAATTTTCGTTTTAAGTTCTTGTATTTCTTGTATCAGTAACAGACTTGTTTCGATATTGTTTTAAATGCGACTGTTTATGCAAAATTTAGAAATATGCTTCAATGGTTAATTTAAAATTTGGAAGATCAGATTATTAGTTAACCTTAATCTATGAATTGTTTAAACAAAATGTTAACAGTTATATTAATAACATTTCCTCTTTCTAAGGATGTCACGCCTGATGTGTATCGTGTACGTTGTCGCCTTTTTTCGTGATAACTTTTGGAGTTGTCAAACCTAACAAATAATGTTGGCGTAAATTTACAAGTTATTTCTGTTTTTAATTACAAAGCATCTTTGACATTTTAATTCATATGTCTTTATTGGAATTAGTACGCATCGATTTGTAATGTGAACACTGACAGCAAATGCACATTCTCGTACATAATTGGCGTGCATTTTCGTGTTTCCGCGCCGGGAGTAAATATAGAAACGATACCACGCTTTTGCTTTGTTATGAGTAATGTAAATTTATTTTAACACGATCATTTGCTTGCTACTAAAATTGTATTGTTCAATTTCTTTCTGCTTCGAATTAATTTCATGAAACAAACATGTTGAAAAATAAAACACCCCCAAAATTCTAATTTCAGTACTTGATTAATGTCAAAGTTAGAATATATCCTTATATATTGTTTTTCATTTTTATACAAAAAATAATTTGGACATTTGGAATCAGTCGGCAAGTTGTGGCTAAACTATACGAAAGAAAAATACATATTCTCTTTCACAATGTATTATGACTTGGACATTTTGCTAGAGAAGATCACTTATTTAAGATAATATTAATGATTTTCCTTAGTGTTTCTATTATATACAGGTTAAACTGCAGTCAAAAGCACTCTGAAGCAATCAAAAATAGCACGTTCTCGCATGATTTTATTTGTTGATTAAGTTTTCAATTCCGTTAATGTTATCTTATTGCTTTACATATATGTTGAAATGTATGTATTCTGTTTCTTTGATCATGAATCATATAACATTTAAAGTATATATTAATGCTAGTGTTATAGAACTAGATAATATAGTTATATCACATGTATTTAACGCCAGCATAGGTATTATATTACATTGATATTTGAATATTTTATCAAATCATTTAAATTATGTTTTGAATTATATGAGACTGTACATGTTTTTTCATCAGAAAAACATTAAAAATCAAATATCTGCCATTTTATTTGTTCAATTGTTGTTCCTTAACCTTCTCAGAAATGTTTACTGATATCTTGAAATTTGTATTTTTCACTACCAAATGCAGCTGGGTTAAAACGTGCATGTAGTAATTTATCAATTATTTTACCATGCATGCAAAAACCGTTGTAAGCATTCCTTTTCTCTTTTTCCCACTCCTCGCTTGCAAGTGGAGTATTTGCTATATATAATTTGCTATATGTAAAGAAACTCTCACTGTGACAATCATATTGAGGATCATTCCGGTTTCCAACAATTATAAGATATACCTAATTTAAAATAACCAAAGAAAATATGAAAAATTGGCAGACATGTGACGAATGTTACGTTAAATTATATTACCATCAAAGATGTTCGTTTATATTCAACTTAAAAAGTTTTCAAGTGTTTTTACGATTAGGACACTTGGGAACTATGCGTCGCTTTTCATGAAATGACACTGATGTGTCACAAGGAAAATACAACAAAATCACCGTATAAACACATCTGCGGGTGTTTCTAAAATTTTATGTCAATTTCAAATTTCTAAATCCATTCATATCCGAGGTTTATAACATTGGCTAAGGTCAGAGATCCTTTTTATTCTAAAAATCAAATGCAGCTGTGTAAAGCGTGCATGTAGTAATTTATCAATTATTTCACTTTACTTGCAATATACAGGGTAACTTTTGATGTCAAATATCCTTTATTCAGAGAATAAAATGATTTCAATCTGAGTATGACACTTTATTTTCATTTATAGATTTCGTGGTAGAATTCTCGGATCAAAGGTCAGATGAGATAAAAAAAACTTAAATTGTACGAACGATGTTTTTATTCAAGTTTGATAAAACTTATTTAGAGTCATTGTTCTGTGACTAAAGTTAACAATTAGACAACAAGATAAATGACACAAGTGAAAGAAAACAATTACATGTCACAAAAATTTCTCTTTTTTTTCTTGTTATATATTTGCTTTTACGACATTGGAAGATTAATTATATCAATCTGTTTTGTCCTGATTACCACGCTTTTGTATATGTTAGATGTGGCATCTACAATAATATACATCGGATGAATTGTTTTTCATCATTTTGTTTCTAAAGACAAAACTCCAGGTAAAAACGATGCAAAAACTGGTATAAATCACAATATTTACTTTTTGTATGATATTTTTAATTATGTTTTGTCAGTATATGATAGCCTTCAAAGAATCATCTTTTTGCATAAATTATGTTTCATTTTCAGAAACGGCAGTAGATCCAAAAGCTATTATTGTATCAAATTCAGAATTTCTTATAGAAGAGTTAGATGCCATTGGATTTATTAAAATGGATATCTTTACAACTAGAGAAGCAGAATTGATGTGGGAGGCTAGGAGTGTTTCTCGTACAGATTGCATGAAAGAAATGATTTCATTCCTGATAAAAAAGCCAGAATCCGGACAAAGAACATTCCTCAATGAGCTTAAGAAAAGAAAACCATTTATATGGAAATGCATTGGTCCAGTAGGTAAGCGCAACAATTTACTTGAGAGCAATATGTTTAAAAATACATGAATCATTAACTGAAGTCATAATATATGAGATGAACATACGTAAGTTCAAATCCATATCGAAAATATGAAAATATTGCCGTTTGTTTCATAGTATCTATTTTAACTGTGATCATTATAATTTGATTTATAGAATCAGCACCTTCATTTGATGATGATGTTTTAACGACGTGTTACGATCAATTTGTTGATGAAATGTCTCCATCATTAGTGTTTGACAAGTGCTATAAGAAAGGTCTTATTGGTAAAAGTGTGATCGGTATTAAATACCGCAGACAATTTGCACAATGGATAATGCAACAAATTCTCTTACAAGACTACACTAAACGAAACTTGTTTCTACAGGTTCTCATCGCAACTAATCAAATACCACAACATGTTCATATTCAAAATAAAGGTAAATCCTGATTTCTTCTTACATTACAGTAACAATCATAAATATTTTACTAAAATACGAGTAGTAAAATTGTCTACGTACAAATGTTGGATTTGCGGATGCAAATAATACAGTAATCATATTAACTTCATTATCACAAATATGAATAGTTTCTTAATGTACTTTATTTTTGTGTCTTACATACTTGAAAGTCCATGTAATAATGTTTAACTTTAATAAATACAGTTTCTTCACATAAAATTAGAGCAGTAGTACGACAAATGGGTATGTCAAGCCTTTATTAATTTATGTTTTAATTTCTAATTTATCAACAGAACCTAGGATTACAAGTCTCATTCCTGTAAATGTAACAGAGACAAAAGTTATTTTTGAGGGATTGTATTGCCGAACGACACCAAAACAAAAGACAGGTAAATATAATCCCATACCACAAACTTAGTGAATAGGGTAATCGGATTTGTATTCCAGAGGTCGCTGGTTTAATCCTCCGCCGAGTTAAAATTTCTCTTCGGACATTGCTTCTAATGATCATTTGTCTCTAGCCGCGGATTTGGGACAATTAGTCGGTCATCTGCGGACAAAATGGTTATTACTAGTCATTTACCTAGGAAAACAGGGTTGCATAGTTGTGTAAATAAAAAAAAGAATTCTTACGATTCTATACGTACTGTTTCGGACAGCATTGACATTTTACATATATTACACTCATAAATCTATTGCATATCATACGCTACATTAAAGAAAAATGCATGCATAAAAGTCATTATAGTGTCTTCAATTTGTCATTATTAAAAGAAGTTTGTTAAAAATAAAGTATTATCTACATTGTCAACAGTTATTGCACACCAAACTTCCTGCAACAAACTTCTGAGGGCGGTTGGGTATCGGTATATTATATTTTACTGTAAGTAATATTAAATGGTGTTATATACCTTTCTGTTCGTACACAATATGTAAGTCTACTGAAAACTTAATGGACTGACTCATACTTTGTTAGCAAGTAGTAAATATCAGAAATTAAAAAAAATATTTAGGTTCTAATCCACTGAACTGTGAAAGAGTTATGTGTTATTTAATACATGGAAATTACGCTTTATATATTTGAAATAATTTCCGGTCTGAAACTACTGAAATTAATTTCATAGATATATGGACTTGAAATTTCTATTGTGCATAAATATTTCCATTTCATTTGAAGTCACTGATTTAATGTGTGATGTTGAATACTCTTGTTGACATAAGATAGAAACACATTTCCCAGCACAATGTAATACTATTTTGTAAAAGCATATGCAGGGGATTCCAAAAAGGAATAGTTTGTCTTTGCACAAATGTGCCTCATACAAAATTCCGTATTCTTGTGTCAGAGGTCAATGTCACGCATATTGGTGAAAGGTCAGATAAAAATGTGTAAGGACCATAATGAATTCAGATATTCCAAATCTTATGATCACCATCATGTGACTGATCAGAAAACGCATAATCCGGGTATACAATGCCAACGTCATTAGAGATACAAAAAAGCAACACATCATGAGATTGTCCGGAGACAAAAAGAGAGATTTTAGATTAAGTATCATCAAAAGACGCAGTGTTAAGTGCTTGAAGAAGGTCAGTAGGCCAAGGTCACAGCTAGAAGTTGAAGGAAAATATTGTTGGCGGCATACATTTTGTGACGGGCGTTTTTTGTTTTTTGTTTTTTTTTGTTTTTTTTTTGTTATAATGGTTTCTGTTGTTATAAATAGGAATATAGTTTATAGTTGTGTTTGTTAATAATTATGTAGGTTATAGACAATACATCACGATACATATGTCAATGAAGACAGTAGTAACAAGGGTATAATACCTTCTATAAACTTAGATAAATGCACACAAATATTGTTACATGTATTTCTTACGTGTCTTCAAATTAAAATTTCATTTTTTTATTATTAAAATTTAGCATTATTTTTAACAAAATATGATTATCATTTTCTTTGAATATCATTTTCAGGTATGGGAAATAAAGCCGACGTTGATGTGAGCGATAAAGAAAGTGGCTACAGCTCCTTGTCTTTTAGAAATCGGTTAAAATCAACTTACGAAAGGATTGAAGAAACGGAAAGCGAGATACATGTAGACGAAAATGATTTACCAAGAGATGTTCCTTTTTAAGTGATAAAAATCAAACAAAACAATAACATTCTTGCATCGAAATAAGTCAGCTTCATAGAAACAATTTATATAAGATCATATAAATAGAGGATATTCAAGTTTTATCTATAAATACATTATTTATTTTCATCGAGTGGTATGAAAATAAATATTTCATGAGTAGCGGTAGCCACAAGTGAAATATGGTAATTTTCATGCCACAAGATGAAAATAAATCATGTATTTATAGAAAAAACTTGAATTTTCTGTTTATTATATACATTTTTCTCTTTTTTGACATTAAAATTTGAAAGACTTTCTCTTAAATTTTGTGTACTGGCAGAATTTAAAAGAAAGTAGTCCGGCAAGACACCAGTGAAAATACGGAAAATATGTTTCACTGCAGTGAAAAATAAATTTTTACAGTGAAAATACGGAAAATGAAAATACACATTTTATTTCATCAATATTTCTCTATATTTCATGTGTAAGTATATAATAAAGATAAAGATTATCCAGACAAAATGACGAATAACTGTTTGGTAACCTTAGAAGGAATCAAAGATAATTTAACTAATTAAACGTCTCCATTTGATAACGTTCAGAATGACATCTTAAAATTAAAGGGGACATTTTAATTATATTTTCCTATTCTTTTATATTTCGAGAATAATTTAAACTTTTCATTTATGTGAAAGTTATATATTTATATATATATATTGTAAGTAAAAATATCGACAGTTTGTCTACATTTGAGATAAACCCGAAGTATCATTTCCAGTTTTCATCATAAGTTTTCATTAAATGTTTATTTCTAAGCATATCAAATGACGACGGAAAGCATATTTTTCTTAAAAATTTAATAATATTTGTGTTTTTGTTTAGAGACAGCTCAATTTAGAATGAAGACAGGAAATGTAAAGCAAAAGAACAGTATGTGTTTTGTAGCTATGTGTCTTTACATCTCGCTTAGTGTAAAGATATGTGTGCCTGTGTGGACACGCGTGCGTGTATGTGTTCCAGCTCTTACAGCATAATTATATTTCTTAACTCCTTATATTGCATTATTTTTATGTAAGTTTGATAACTATATGTGCGGATTTGATACGGCTCAACATTTATGTATATAAATGAAGTATTTAAATAGTTATTATACAGTGTAGATGTTGTCCTTTTATTGGAAAGGTATTTGAATTCAGTCTTAATTTTCTATTGTTTTGCTGCTTTACATATTTACTGTACTTTCGAGATTTATTGATACAATAACTTTCTTTTATTACATGCTGTTGTGATATGTTCACTTCTGTTATGGTGTTTTCTGATTGTTCTAATGCTGAATTAGGTTTGGTTGCTTGTCTATCTTATATAGATTTGCAGAGGACATTTCTTTACCATTCTGTTATAATTGTATTCAAATGTCAAAAATATCTTTTAAAAGGATCGAATAGGTTATTTTAACTTTAAATGTTTATTTCAAGAAGTTTTTTAGAACCATGTCTGTAATATTTGACAAGTGTGCATCTTTATAATGTTCATAGGTACTATAAAGAACCTTTGATATTATATGATCAGCGTCCTTTTAACGGCTGGGCTGACCTTTGTTTCGCTTGCACCCCCACCCCTCCCCACACACACAATTCTACATATTTTCGATAACACTGCTTGGCTTGCAACTACTGTTCTTTATTGCCAACGAACCTGCATAAAACAAAGTCATATATACACCAAACTCAAATGAGTCCAGTGTTCTATTTCCAGCAAACTGTTATAAAGGATTCGTTACATAATGGCTATCCGAAAGATGAAATGCAAATATAAGTTATTGACTCACCTTTATTTCATATTTTGCAGGGTAACTGATACTTTTTTGTGAAAAGAATGAATCATTTTGCCATTCATCGGTATGATATTACATTTCTGCTCTATGTGTTCAGTTCCTAAATTTAAAAGTTGTTGTAGATACTAAATTTCTGCTGAATTTAGATCTTATTTTGTTTTTACTTTATCTTAAATTGTCAAATTAGATAAACTCTGTTATTTTGAGACAGTGATACGACGATATAATGAATGTGATATTATCAATAGTGTAACAAATGTAAGTGAGAATAAATTCGTCATCTTATATGTAAATGGAAAGTTAAAAATTTTTATCAAAAAGGTTTTTTTTTACAAGATTAACTTTCATTTTTAAAGTACTATTTTTTAATGTTCATTAATGGAGGTTTTTTTTAATCAATAAAAAATTATACAACGATAATATTTAAAAAAATGAAGAAATTATAAAATTTGCTTTCAAAGCCCTTATACAAAACCCCTTTTCATGCGTAAACACCCCGGTTAAATAGTATTTTAAGATATTTATTTTTTTGAAAAAAAAGCGATCAGGGGTCAAATTGCGCTTCGATAGCCATCTGAAGATAAACACCTTCTAAAAACACCCCTCCATCCCCCTGCGCATATTTCGGGGAAACGATTAGCAAGTTTTACATCAAATATATTTTTAACTATTACTTTTAAACACTACACTCTTTACATCAGGATCTTTTAAATATCTAAAGACCCTGTTTAATTTTAAGAAATTTAATACAATTGTAAGAAGAAAACAAGTTGGAAATGGAATTTAATGTGAATGGAAAGAGACAACTGAACACTGTGCTGAT